CCAGTTTTTAAATAAGGCAGCATCGTGAGCGAGGAGTCTTAGTTGAATAAATTTCAAGGGAGAAAAAAAAATATTTTGGATAGTCAAGCAGAAAAAAGTGAGAAACACATCCTCGTCAATCATCCCAAACTTCCATCCATTCACATTGAGTTACTCAGTCGCAACGATTGCTATATCTCGAACCAGAATATACGCTCGTTCGATGATTCCGCTTTGAGGAAACGGGCTAATAGAGGAGGGCAAGGGAGGGTCTCATGTGAGGTCATTATTATAGGAGGGCTCCTTACGGAAGTCCGGGGATTCCGGATTCACCGGGATCCTCATCCGAAAATCGAGGGGACATTCAACCCTGTCCCTTCTCGCTCATGAGATCAACATTTTAGAAGCAGAAGAAATATCAGGAGCTCTAAACGGAAAGGAAGACGTCAACAAAGAACAATAAATAATCAAGAGGTGATACAGCCACATTCGTTGCCATGTGCTTCTGTCATTCGTTGTGCTGCAGATTTGGAGATCATGACTAACTTGAGGTGAGATCTGAGGCTTAATGCCTTCTTCAAACTCATCGTAAAAAAAAGGCTTTTTTTTCAATAGCGCCAATCCACTTCGCGGAAGAAAGCATTTGGCTTCGTGAAAGGAAAAGACAGGAGGCCGGAAAAGCTGCCCAGACGATGGAGTGATCTCAGGAGTCCTTTGAACAGGAATGCGCGAGGGTTAGGGGGATTGTGTGAATCGTTCTTAAGCATACCTAGAAGGAGAATTTTACATTCTAAGGGGAGCCGTGGTCATGACGTTCGTCGGACAATCCTCAAATGAAGAGGATGCGCCAGATGTAGAGAGACGGTCGGTTTCGTCAATACCAAATGCTCCGGTGTGTCTGGCCCCATTTCCAACCTGCCAACACAATAGGAACTTCACAAACTCTCATTTTCTTTCGGATGCGTTTTCAACGCTTTTAAATGCGAGTCAAGTCCCCAAAATGTAATCAATCGTTCAATCAGTCACTTCGCGAATTCAGTTCACTCATTAGTCATCCTTAAGGTGCGCTAATATAATCTCAAATCACAATTCCATACAGTAAAACCTATTTGCAGAAATTAAAAGTCTTAAGAATCAAAGCACTTGAAAATAAGTGGCCTTTCACAATCCTTTTTAATAAACCGTTTGGTTCATTCAAACGAAGAGATTAAAGCCATGTTCATATACCTGACGTACCCTTGCGGGATGATTTATTCTCATTCAACTACGTAACAGGGTGGAGTAATTCATTACCTGCTCTCTTCGATTACTTTTGCGACAGAAGATTTTGCTCGATATTCCGGGCGCTCAGGAAGAATTTGAATTCACATTACGCCTGTTAGAACAGAAATGGAATGGAATGGGAGCTCCTTTATTTATACCTGTAATTGCGAAGAAGAGTGGCAAGAGTGATCTTCATCTCCATCATGGCGAATCGTTGCCCAATGCAGCTTCGCCTACCTGCACCAAAGGGCATGTATGCCATCGGGTGTCTCGTCTCGCAATTCTTCGCCAAAAACCTGCAGCAAGTGAAAGAGGCTCATGTAGCACCTCATTGTCTGACAGACTTAAGGTAGACGAGAACGCCACGTGGGAGGGGAGGACGACACAGTTGGGTCATCGTTCAGATCAGAAATTAATCATATTTTGATGGAAGTTAGAAAGAAGATTCTCTCTCCGAAGTCACTGCACGAAAATAGACCATTCCAAGTTCGTTCTTGGATTGATGCAGAAGAAAAAGCAATCCGATGCTCAGGGCGGCGCAACGTAGACAAGCCTACCCTGTCTCATTCAAGGACTACGGTTCTCGTCCCTCTCTCCCTCTTCCCGTTCTTGCATTGGATTCGTGGGGATTTGAGCTTTGCCTGCGTAGGCTGGCAACGCCGTGCCTACTCTGAACACAATCTAATTCTGCTTTTACCTTTCAAGGGAAAAAGTCTTTCCAGCTGTGTTAATCGAAGAATAAATTAGCAAATAATATTTTGAGAACTCTGACTTTAAGCTGGGCCGGCCTTAGGCATGAGTCACATGTGCCCCCCGCACAGGGCGCAAAGCATAAAATCAAAATACAAATTGTGCGAACAGGCAAAGAATGTTAGCGCAAGCACATTCAATGTTTTTGAGCCTTTTTTTTTTAGCGTCGAGTCCGTTTTGAGTTTTTACTTTGTCCACCTACCTACCCACTCCAATAGAGAGCCTCTATGCGCACCGTCATAGTACTAGGGATGGATAGGTAGAGGTGGGAGAGCTAAGGATGGCTGATGCTTGGGAAGAGGAACAAAGTAATATGTATGAACTCCAAACAATGTTGCTCTACGCTTCTTCGTCAATTTTTTCATTATCTGCGATTCCCATAGGTACTATGGGGAAATGGCAGATATTGCGATAGGTCTGTAAAATTTGTTTATTTTTCAATCCGCAGCATCCATAGCAAAACCGGGCAACACGACTCGCTGCGCATGTGCAGCTTTCCGCCTGGGCCAGGGTGCCCGTCTTCCACTAAAACATCCACTTCTCTTCCAGTCCTCGCGGATGACGGATCCATACTTGACAATGCACGGCCGCTCGCGGCTGTGTAGACAGGGTTGCTAGGCGTACGCGTGAGATACCGCATCTGGCATCCTACACTTCATACTCTCTTCCAATCTCTACGCGACGCAGACGCGCGAACCATTGAGAACATGTCTAGTTGTCCGGGCCTTTTCATATGGGCCTATGCCGTACCAATAACATTTATTATTTAGTTCAAGGTTGGGTCGTTAGGATGCCGCGAATGAGATAATTCCAAAGGAATCGGGGCCATTGGAATGGAAGATCTGTACCGGGGCTGGCGCACTGTTTTTTTTTTTTCCCCTTTCCGTGTGTCCGTAGAACCCATAGCCACCGGACAACTTGACTCAGTGCGCATGTGCAGCTTTCTGTCTGGGTAGGGGTGCCATTCTACGACTAAAACTTCCACTTCCCATCCAGCCCTCGCGGATGACGGATCCATAGTAGACAAAAGGAGAGAGTGGTTACTCGCGGCCGCGTAGACAGGGTTGCTGGATGTACGCGTGAAATGCCGCATATGCATCCTACAATTCATATTCTCTTCCGGTCTCCCGACCCGGACGCACGAACCATCGAGAACAATGTCTAGTTGTCCGGGACTTCTTACATAGGCCCTTGCCATACCAATGACAGCTATTATTTATTTCAAGGTTGGGTGGTTTGGATGCGGCGAAGAAAAGATAATTCCTGTAGTATGGGGCCAGTGGAATGGCAGATCTGTACCTGGGCTGGCACTCTAGTTTCTTAATTCATTCATCCTATTGACAGTCCATCCAAACTTAATGGAGCCGCAGCTGAAACAGGAGAACAAGCGTTTTCCTGTGTTCCCAATCCTAGGCTAGTGACTCGAGCTTAGGTGATGGGACCCTAGCGTAACTAAAGCTTCGCAACATAGCCGCTACACCTAGCACGAGGTCTGCCAACAGATCTGCCGGTCATCCGAGGATGAGACTCCTTTCATGGAGTGTCGGAACCACCGGACTCGAAATTCTCTCTATCTGAAGGAGTTTCTGCTCGACCTAGACTCTCTCGGATCCCGGCACTCCGCTTCCCATCAACACCCGTAAGTCCTGCCAACCGACGTTTAATGAGTACCTCACTTCGCAACATGTATGCACGATCTGATCCTTCCTGTTCATGGCCATGGTTAGAGAAGCTAAACACTCTCATTAACTCAGACTCAGAAAAAAATAAAACACAGGATGTGCTTTATTAGCTTTTAACTAATAGCTCTTAACAGGTTTACGAGGATTCACCTCCTTGGGAATTTCTGATTTAGTAACCACGATCCTCCGGAGCTCTGCAAAACTGCCGAAGCGATGGAGATGTGATTATTCATCTCGTTCCCGTATTACCCGTCACTTGAGAATCAGAGCCCAATACACTGAAACTTCATCTATTCCAGTACTGTCCCCCTCACCCCCTCCTTCTATGTAGACGCACTGCACAGGATTTATCGAGGGAACCATAACCTGGGTTTTGTTAGTTTCATTCCATCCGCAGTTCATTCGGAGACAACAGTTCAGGAAGCACTGCGGCTCCTGTCTAGATTGGGCCAAAAGGACGGCATCGTCCGCAAAGGGAAGACCTCCCCCAGGCCCAGATCGTGTCAATAAATCCTATTCTTGTTCTCGAGGTTCACGAGAGGAGAACCCTCGCAGTGGTCATAACGTACAGAGGAAGAGTCCGAACGTTTTCCTTATTTCAAATTCATATCATAATAAATGTTACTGGACGAACTTACCAAGATGATTTAAAGTTGAAACATTTTTGAGTTGGTGCAAGGAAATCTGAAGTTCGAGTCCGCGATAACGAGAAAACGTTAGCGAAAACAAACAAGTCAGACACATGTCCGAGCGATTGCATGAAGAGTGTAATTTACATCTCAAAGGAAATTAGCAAAAGACTCAGTGGCGGTGAAATTTACCTTTACGTAGGTCAAACCCAAACCCCCTCAGATAATGTTTTAATAACCATTCTGATCTCGCCCCTGAAAAGGCTCTGAGATCTCCATGCGACCGGAGGGTGAGTGAGCTAGTGTACATCAATGGAAAATCTTTAAATTCCACCAAAACTTCATCACATGTCCTAAGCGTGACTCTTAGGGTGGATTTTTGAACAGAGCACTATCCGATAATGCAGCTTTATTTCAGAGAAAATGCATTATAAATCCGGNGAGCACTATCCGATAATGCAGCTTTATTTCAGGGAAAATGCATTATAAATCCGGTAAATAAAGCTGCATTATCGGATAGTGCTCTATTCAAAAATCCACCCTAGTTCTTGGAACCTTTTAAGTAACTGGAGTCACAGAAGACTCCACAGAAAATTTAACTTTTACAAAAGGGCCGATGGAAAACAATTGAAGAGCTAAGCTAAAACTCTTTAAATGTTAAATTCAGAAGGGTGCCTCCGGAAGACTAGGCTTATCGTTAAAACGAAGCGAGGGTAAAGTACCTATCAGGGTCGAAATGTTCAGGTTGTGGCCAAATCTCGGGATTCCGATGAATGATCCATAGGGGTACCTGGATCAACGTTCCCTGGGGTATCTTCACGTCAGGGTAGTTCACATCACAGGCAGCTTCTCTCATCACGAAGCTTTCCACGGGCGGATAAAGTCTCATGGATTCCCGGATGATCCTAGTCAGGTACTGAAGATCTCGAAGTTGCTGGTATCCCACTCTCGTCGACAGCTACACCAACACAAGAAATCGATCACGATTTAGTCCACCCTCGATGGGGACTATCACCAAACAAAAGGTTCTGTGCGATCACAAAGCAAAAATATTCCTTTCCAGTCCTTAAACAAGAACAGCCATCCTTCCTTCTCAACTACCATGCTCTCCTTTCGTCGAATGATGAAACCAACTGCGGAAATGAGTAACTAGTCGTGACCGCGGATCCAGGTTCTATAATTTTATCTTGATTATCTTTAACGCCTAATTCACACGTCGATCCGCAAAGACAAACCGAGAAGGAATCTCAGTTGTTAAAAAGTGCCTCAAAAAGGAAAGATATGAGCGCACCGAATGTTTAACGAAAATGCATAATGCGAAGAATAATGTGAATGCGAATATGAAATAATGTGAATGGCGGTTGGAAGCAGCAGTCATGTGAATTCTGTCTTAAATATTTCCCTTCAAAATCTCCTAATACACCAGCGGTTGGTGGGCAGGAAATAGAACTAATTTTTAATATAATTTACTTTTTTTTTAAATAATAAATTGTGTTAAAAAGTAACTCACGGGGATGTGTTCCTTGAGTTCTTGGAGGAGTTTTTCTTGAACGTGGGGATACTTGGCAAGCAAATAGATGGTGAAAGCCGTGGCGTGGGCTGTCGTATCGAATCCCCCCAGAAGGAAGACCCAGGCATTGGCAATGATTTCGTCGTCGGACAGATCCACCTTGTCTGTGTTGTCGTCGTTGCACCACTCGGAATCGGTGGAGGATTCCGTGAGAGTCCGTCGCCGTTTCTCTGCCCCCCAGACGAGGACTTGCAGGACGTCGACCCGTCTCGTCCGAGGTTGTTGCCGTCGCTCCTCTAGGACCCCACGGAGGCTTTTGATGATTTGGCAGGTGGAGAGACCGCTGCTGGCAAAATGTCGATTGAGGAAGGCGAATATGTTGGCCAGGGGCGGAAATACGATGGCGAAAAACGTGAACATGTTCTTCCCTTGTTCCAGGAAGGTCCGAGATGCCTGAAACAAGGGATCCGTTTGATCCTTCTGACTATTCCCAGGGAGAGCCAGAGCACATTCGCAGATCACGTCGAAACTCAGACACTCTGTGGCAGTCGCGAAATCCAAGGATTCACCATTCGTTGCATGTTCTTCCGCGGTATCGAGGAGAATCTGTACTTTATCTTTCACGGGTACAGACATAGATTGAAGTTTGTGATTGGAGAAGGCCGGGGCGAGAAGTCGTCTTATCGTCGTCCATCTTTGTCCTCTCAATCCTACCAGAGTCTTGGAAACTGGTTCCACATTAACTGGAACTTTGGGTCGGTCGTGGAACTTGTTGAAGTCCTTTATCAATATTTGCCTGATCAAATCCAAGTTCGTGACGACGAGCACAGGTCTCGTCCCAGAATAATAGCCGAAAATGTCGCCGTACGATCGTTTCCACCTCTCGAAGATGTAGAATTCAGCAACGCCGCTTCGTCGGAGTTCCCAGAGGTTACCGAAGAAAAAATTCGGCTTGGGTCCGGGGATCCTCAGCTTTTCGAAGTGTCGAAAACGTCTCTTCCGATCCACAATCCATTGCAGAGTGCAGAGAAGAAGAAAAACGATGGGAAGGAAGAGGAACATGGAGATGGAGAGAGTCGTCTGTGAACACAAGAGGTGTGATTCCCAGCCATGCCCGTGAATGCAGAGACCTGGCCTGGCTTTTATACATCCTTATCGCGGGGCTCCAATGACGCAGTCCTCCGTCCAGATGCTTCTTTCGCCTCCAGATACTTCTATCTTCAAGCCCGGCCCCACGAGGGAGGAGCTGCTGCATAGGGAATCCCCCCTTTCCATCCTCATATCACATCGTATCGGCTGCGCGTTACCATATGTAGGCTGTTAAGGCCAGGATGCTTGGCGACATGACGCGTCGCCCATGTTTTTCTCCTTCCCCAGCATGTATGATCGTCAACACTCCTTACCTGGTCAAAATAAACAAACTTCTCTGCCTACTACGTCTTATTGCACGGTATTTTACGTGACGTCACGTCAGTGCGCAAAAAGCAACCACTTATCGAGGGCAACCAACATTAGGTAGTTTGGGACAGGAAGCATATTTTTGCCTGAGGGAAAGTCGATGCCAACTTTTCAATTAAAAATTAAATGGCCATGTTTGTCTTTGCCAATAAAAAAAAAACTAATGCATGCCGTGCGGAAGCAGTAAAACAAAAACGAAACACCCATTCAATTCCGTTCCTGTTTTTTCCATCTCTTTCTCTGATATTTCCAGGTCAATTTCATATCATTGTAACATTTGTGATATGACATGACTTGGAGTGACATCAAAGTTATGTTAAATAGGCACTACGTGCAGCCTTTATTGATATCTAATTGACATCAAAGCTAAGTCTGGCACTGAAGCTCTGTGGAGTTGTGACCTCGCATGGAGGATCGTAGTAGACGCATTCGTTCCAGAAGAAAGGTCATACATACACATCTACGTAGCCATATAATTTCGTGTTTGCATTGGACTCTCGTTGAACTCCATTTTAAGCCATTCGCTTCATCCGACAGTCAAAATGTTTGAGAAATACCATTCTCTTTAAAAATGAGGAAATTTCATACAAGGAATAAATATGATCCCCCTGGACTAAATATTTCTGCATAAATAATCACATCTCATAGATTGCACATAACGTCGGCGCATCGTTTCGACGGTTAGGTATACTCGTCACTATCAGTGTAGGCCATCGATCTGAAGGCTTGGTTATCCTAAGGGTAAACGGGATTTCCTTTATTCCCTTAATATTCCACTTTGAAATGATACGAAATGACGTTAATGTGACACGAACGGAGAGAAGCATTTGGAGAACTCAGTTCATCCTATTTTTTTTCCCTTGTGTACTCACAGCGTAATGCCTGGGGGAGATGTTTTCAAAACGTGATCGCTCTGCGAACGCGACTGATGTGCGTCTCTCCTCTACAGGGTGTCCATAGGGACGGGGCTATAATTTTCTTTGTTGGCGCACAACCAGCATGTAATTCTAAATCACCATCTCAGAGCTTCAGAATAACGTATGGGGGTAAAAGAGGCTTTACCTCATGTTAACGTTTCTTCTTCACGCTTCCACACTCCATCTAATTGGCAATTGCATTGTTCCTCCTAACTCAAGATGTTCCAGACTTGAGTTTAAAACCTCTCCATACACAAGTTCACAGAACAGTGACAGCGATAAAATATTGGCGATTGTGATGGTGAACAATGCACTGTATTTGACCGAAATCCAGTATTTTAGACATTTCTCCCTCTTATTTTCACCTTGTTGTCGTCAGTGGAATAAGCGATTCTAAAATTCGTTACTTATTTCATTTTCACAATTTGTCTCATAAGTAGCGGAAACATTGTAAACTTTTTCTAATAAAAGCCTGCGTATACGATGTACGTAAAAATAAGGCATGGTCTGCAATTACGCAAGAAAGGTGGCTGAAGCATGGCGACTTTATTATGGACGCCCGGTTCGAAACCAGTTCTTAGAAGTCGGGGGAATACCTTGCAAGCATGACTAAATGGATTCCCGGAACGGGAATTAAATTGAGGTCGGAATATTCCTCATCTCTCTCCCCCTACCCATCTCTAATGACGTGGCTGGAACAGGGGGTGCGGCCAAGGCCAAAACACCTCCTTCGCTTAGCAACAAGCAGGAAGAACCTCTTTCTCTTCACATCATTCGTATTCATGCTGTCATCACTCCGCGATCTTGACATCCTTCTCAGGGTCGGATGTCAATCCCCTTTTGGAAGAGAAGAGGATACCCATTGCCGGTCTCCCCGGCAATCGAAAGGACTCAACTGCATCAACGCTCTTTCCTAATTCGCAATCCCTCTCATATTCGATCCAAGTGTGGCAGTCTTAACCTTCTGATATTCTACCAATGGGGCAAGATGCCGAAAACCAAGTGTCTTTTGTTATGGAGAAATGGCGAATGCAATAAAGATGTTAATCGTGAAGGCCTGCTTGAAGGAACAAAACTTTTTATTGACCACTCGCCAGGATTGTAGCTGAATCATGCCTAACACTAATACGAGTTTACGGCATTAAGATGCACGACGAAGTCGTTACGAGGCGCGTGCACGGTGTCACGTGCACTTGGAGCTCATCTGCCACGTGAACTCCTATGATGTTCTCATAAACAGTTATCTGCCATGTATTCGCGCTATGATTTTATGATCCATTAAAATTGTAGTTAAATTTTGTCTTTTTGATTGCCCGCGAGCGGAAAGACACCCAATGAAAGTTACATGAAAAGTTCTCTGAAACAAATAATACAGTTAAATCACGTCATAACGATAAGGTATGCAATTAAATCACGGGAACCTTGCAAATTACTTTGTTATAAGGAGTTCATCGTAAGCAGGATATATATTTCCAACGTTATGGGCAATCAACCTGGGATACAAAATCGTTTCGCTCTAAGGAGAATTCGATTGTATCCAATTTCGTTAAGATGGGATTTTGTAATGTAATGATTAAAGACCACCAGCACTCCGAGTGGATAGTTACGCGATTACTCTTAGTGATCTAGTTAATTATTTCATTCTTGCGGCCCGGTCTGTGAGAATTTTCAGCTCGAACTCACCCGTAAACCCAGGTCGGGTAAAGTTCGAAGGCTCGGTCAGACGTCAGAGAAGAAAGCAGACATCGAAGACAAGGGCCTGTTACTCGCCACTGCCGAACTTAAACTAAATCTAAATATGAATTTGACCTGAAGGCTGACGTAAAATGCTGCCAAGAGAGACTGTATTTCCTCACATCAGCGCCGAATTACCGCTTTTAGATTAGATGAAGTTCAGATTTAGATTAGGTTTGGCAGAGGCGAGGCACAGGCCGAAAGATTCCACTATCACTCGCTCTTATCTCTCTCCAATAGGTTTTCCTGCTCGAGAACTTCCGTTCGGCTCTCACACTATTCCTTCATTCGTCCGTACTCGAGGATCAGTTGTAATCTGCCATGTGCTCAACTTCTGAACAAAATCCTCAGGCTCCCCTGCGCTCGAAACGTAGATATCATTATTCTATTCACCTTCACCATCATTCCAGGTCGAATGGTTCTGGTGAGAGCAAAATGGCAACATTTCGTAACTATCGAATGATGACAGAAATGTGAGCTTCAGAATCGGCGGGGTCGCAGAGGCTCTCAACCACAGATCGTACAGAGAAGTCGCAGGCGGGCAGACTGGCAGTTTCCAACGTATCCCAGTGTACAAGAAAGAAAGAAGAGGGAGAGGAGAGGGAGGGGGGGGGGGGGAGGGGTGCCTCTAGAGACCAAGGGTCGAAAACCAAATAATCGAGAGAAGAACTCATCTGAACTGCTCATCTCTAGAACGACACAAACTACAACCGGTTGCAATAGTGCGATTCATGTAAATACACGTGAAAAGACGCCCGCGCAACTTTACTGGTTGAAAGACATTTTCGACCTGTACGAAACGTCCTCAAATTTTTTCCACTCGGGTTAGAAACTTTTCCCGACTTGAACCCACTTCCGAGAACCGAGAACTGTCTGGGGTACTGCTCATGCGTGGGTGTTGGGGTCAAGAGAAAATGTGTCAAACTCAACCAAAAGAAGCTTAATCTGTCTTAATAGTCTTTAGTCAATTTGCGACACAAATCCTCTCCCAACAGTCACGGCACGAAGTAACAACAAAAGGGCTGTGATATGATGTGATCACACAAGCATAAATTGCCCAAGCGAAAAGTTTTTGTTTTCTACATTTGAGGTGCCAGAGAGATAAAAATCTAGAATTGGACTGACGGGGAGAAACCCTTTCTTACAGACAGACCTTTTAGACATATCGCTCAGTCCATGACCTTGGGCTTCCCTCGGGCATATCTGGGTTTTATTATTTTGCAGGAATTTGATGCCGCGGAAAATATGAAAATTGCAAGAAGAACTTGGAAATTTTCAACACTCCCTCGTAAAAGTTGGCGGAAGACGGCGAGAAATAATAAGCTTCAAGTAGGCCTACCAAGAGTTCGGGTCTTCTCCAGCTTTGATGCAAATGCTGGAATGAAGACGAAAATACAGAGGCAAGGTACACGTAAAAAATTGAATGAATGTATGGCAATTTGCACACCAATTTGTTTCACAGAAGTTGAACACGTTGCTTCACATAAGCAAGATCGTCGAGAGGTTTTATATTGCTTTTCGTCCTGATAAACTTATTTTGTCGGAGCAGGTGGCAGCTGTTTTTTGTTGAGAGATTATTCAACTTTTCTCAAAACTTCCGAGCAAAAGGAAGAAAAGGAAAGGTGAGGCTTCGTGAATTACTTCCTTGCATCAACTGGATGCCATTGCAAGATTTTGCAAGATTTTGATCTCTTACTGGCCTTAAAATAATAGATATATATGTGAAATACCTCGGTATGGCATTCATCATCATACCGAAGCAGCTCATCATCACAGACAACAATCACAAGAATAATGGATATCCAGGCTTACAGGCCATATGATAGGTCTAGACTCTTAGAGTCATTCCAGACCCTGTATTGCGCTTCTCCCGACCGACGAGTGAACACGTGGGCGACAACAGCGACAACTATGGAGAGCGCATGGAGTCTATAAGCAGCTAAGTCCGCACATCATCGACTAAACATATTGAGGTTTCAATATCTATCATGTGGAATCGGTGTTGAAAACATTAGGTAAAATAATGGTGCTAGTATCGACATCAGCTCAACCCCGAAATGTGCGAGGCCTCGATAATGCTAGGCCGTTGAA